CGATCGAAATCGCCTCGTTCTGCACCCCGGAGCTAAGCTGGGGGGCTCGAGAAGGGGGTCGGACCGAACGGTCTCTCGTAGGGTCGTCGGCGCGTGCATTCCCCCCATGTATAATCCGCCCCCGATGATGCACGGGAGTTCAGACATGTGACAGGCCCGGGGAACTGCTGCGCCCAGGCATGGGCCGCAGCTCCCAAGGCCGCCTTAGAGTCTAAGCAGACAGGTACTCGAGAGTCGGGCATCCTGATGCATCAGTGCTTGCACAAACTCATGAGGGCGGTGGTCTCGAGGATGTTGATACGTCTAGGCGCGCGAGACTGCCATTGGCACGTCAATCGGATTCGGAACCCCTCCGGCAGCCCTAGGTCGCGACGCAGCTGGGTGAGCCCAGGGCCAACGGGGGCCCCTCGGCTCAGGACTTGGAGGAGGTGCCGATCATGCGCGCCAGCCTCCGCGCTCGGATCTCCTCCGCAGCTCTGCGGACAGATGAATGCGAATGTCCGCTGGGGCTACCCCCCCGCGGCTGAGGGAAGCATCCGCGCCGAGCGCCGCGGGGCACGGGGCCGCGCGGAGGTCGGCGATGGCCGTGAGAGCCAGGAGGGTGCAGGCCGAGAGCTCGTCCATTACAGACGGTGGCAGCTCGTATTCTGTGCCGTCGTCTACAGCAAGCCGAGTCTGGAGTGTATAGATTCGCGCGAACATGATGGGGCGTCGAAACAGAAACACCTGCACTCAGCAGCCGATGAGAGACGCGAGCGCGGCGCGCGTCGATGAGCCGAGGTAAACTTGGATAAGCGTCAGCCTGCTCAGCGCGACCGACCGGACAAGCGGAGCGCGCGCGATGCACATTCGTCCTTCGATCTCGGCCCCTACAATGGATTTCGCTGCGGGCGCGCTTCTCAGCCCGACCTGCGGATGGCCGCGGTCGCAAGCGGCGAAGACCTCCCGATCGCGGCGAGTGGGGTTGGCGGGGCGTGGGGCGGAGCCGCGCCGCGAGAGCTTCTGAAAAAGCCCGCGTGATCGTCAACGTTGAGTATTTCGACGAAATCCCCTAGGAAAAACAGACCGGTGCACAGCCTGCTCGTGGAACCGGAGGGCACCGAAGCTGCGGAGAGCCCCCTCGTGGGCCGCGTTGGCGATCTCAACGGCCATATTGTTGCCCGCGGCAAGAGCGCGTTGAGGTACGGCGCAGCGGCCGGGCCCGCCAGCTCGGGGTGCCAGGCCCGGAAAGACTTGAAGAGGCCCCCCGGCAACCTGGCCCGCAGCGCGTTCCGGCGAGCGCGTGCGGGGGGTGCGCGGGAGGTTCCGTGCAAATCCCTGAAATCGTCACAGGAGATGACCAGCCGTTCCCTTGGGCCAAGTCCGAGTCGGCACAGCAGAAACCCCTGGCCGAGCGTTGAGTGCTCGAGGAAGCCGAGGAGCACCGGCTGTCGGCGACCGCAGGGTTAAGGGTCAGACGATCGAACTCGGAAGGCTCCGCGCCCCTCCTCCCAGCAGAGATCCGCAGCTGGGGTGTGGTGCAGGGCGCCGCGGGCGTCCCATTTGCGGAGGGGCGCCCAAATGTCCGCGCGGCCCACGCGGGCGCGTGTCCCTGGCTGGCCCGCATGCCACTCTTCCCGCGGGAGTCGCGTTGCATCGGGGCCCAGAAACGCCTGGCGCACGATCGGATCGGACAGAGAGGGAGCGGGATCAAACTTAGGTGAGTCAGTCCACTTGATGCGGGGCGCCTTGACCTTGAGGTCGAAAGGCTCGACGCGGGCGGAGCCCCGCGACGCCGCGGCGGCGGGTGACCCAGGCGCGGGGGGCGCGGGTGACGGACGTTGCCGCGCGGGTGCCGGGGCGGCGGAAGAGGAGGCGAAGGAGGCCCCCATGCTGAGCTGCGGCGCGGGTCGCCAGGCCGAAGGGCAAGACCTCGGCGGCGCCGAACTTTGCAAAAGCTCGGCCCATGTCGGTCTTGCCCCCTCGGGCAAGGCGAGCTGCAATCCGGCGCGCCGCTCTGAGCGGCCGCGCGCGCCCCCCCGGCAAGGCGAGACCGTTGCTCGCGCGCGAGCCTCGGCGGGGGCGAGGCCCGGCTGGCTGGGGGTCAGCCAAATTAGCGCAACCGCGGCGCGTTGAGCTAGGGCGCGAGACGCGCGCCCCAGGCGCTGCCGCTCCCGCGCGCGGCGGCCGACCAGAGAAGAAGGCGGCGGCAGGGCGGGCGGAGCTGGGGGGCGCGGCCGTGGATCGCGGGGAAGCGGCTCAGCGAGAGAGCCGCCGCGGCCCGACGGGCGCTGAGATGAGCGAGAAAAGGGCGCCGGGGAACGCCGCGCCCCTATCCCGACCTGGGGCAGCGCAGCGGTCCAGTGGGCGACGTCGATGTTCGCGCCAGGGAACAAGCGCAGCAAGGAAGACAGACCCGCCACAAAGGGCGCGCTCTGATCGCACGGGGGCCGCCTGTGCAAGGCAAAGAGCAGGGCGGTTCTCCCGAAGCAATCGAAGTCCTCTCAGCGTCCGCGGGCGCGTCGCTGAGGCTAGGCGGGCCAAGGTGTTCTGAGGAGGCAACCGCGTCAAGGGCTGGCGAGCTGAGATCGCGCGGGCAGAACGAACTCCCCCCCGCGGCGGCGCAGCGCCCTCGCTGGAGACGCGCGCTCGCACCTTCGCAACCGCGCTCGGCCCGAGCGCCCCCAGCTGGCGGCTGCAGCGGGCGAGGGAAGGGACTTGCGAGGGCCAAACTGGCCAGCAGAACGGCAGGGTGCCCGAGACTCCGAGGCCTGGTCGCGGCGCCGGGGCGCGCTGCCCCCCGCGGCGGCGCAGCGCCCTCGCTGGAAGCGCCCACCCCTGCCCCTGCGACCGTGCTCGGGCCCGTTGCGCCCGGCAGAACAACCGTCGGCGGAGAGGGCTGACGAGCGGGGGGCAGCGCCCCGCGGGCCGCCCGCGCGAGGGCGGTGCATCGGCGTCAAGGAGGCTCGGCGCCCGCCCTGGCCTTGTGCGGCGGCGTCCCGTCTGTTTCCGGCTTCGCTTTCAACTCCACCTTCGGCTTGGAAATCGGCGCCTTCGAAGCCGACGCCCGCCCCGAGCCCGGGCGGGGCCTGAAGGAGATCAGCTCCTTGATTCGGCCAGCGCGGGGCTCGCCGGCGGCGAGAACGGGCCGTGGGCCCCCTGTTCTGCGCGTTGGCGCGTCGCGCGCGTCGGCGGGCCCTCCAGGCCCGTCGAGAACCGCGCCGCCTCGAAGTGCCCGCAACGCCATCGCCAGCTGATCCGTGCGCGTGCATTGGCGCGACAGCAGAGCCTGGGCGAGCTCCGCGTTTCCTTCGTCGCTGGCTCGTCACAACTCGGCACTCAACCGCGCGAAATTATTCGGCAGCTCGCGGGTCGACGCCCGACCGCCCAAGGGACTCTGCCCCCGAAAGTACCGGAGCATAGCCATGGGCGCCACGTCTTCCAAGCGAGTCCGAAGAGCGCGGGCCAGGTTCGTCAGCTCGCTGACGCGAGGCCCGCGCTGAATGGGCGCCAACTGACACTCGCGACGTCGCGCGAAGCCCCGCATCCGAGTCATCGCGGGCGCGCCGTCCGAGGGGAGGCCCTGCTGTGCCGGGGCCTGCTCGGTGAGCGAGCCCAGCGGTGGGTGGGGCGTCGCTCGAGGGGCCTGCTGGCGCGTGAGAGCCTCCCGCAGGCGTGCCAGTGCGAAGTCTAACGTTGAGGGCGCGGTCGCAGCTGGGTCCGAAGGCCCCCCCGCGGCGGCCCCCTCGGCGGGGGCGAAGCCCCGGCCGTGGACAGGGGGCCCTGGGGGCGGCCCCCCTGCTGGCGTGCACGGAGGAGGCGGAGCCTTGGCCAACGCGCCCACGGGTCGCGGAGCTCACCGCGCTGCCACCAGCGAAAAGGCGGGGTGCCACGCTGCCCCCCGCGCTGCCCCGCGCGCTGCCCGCCGTGGCCTGCGCCCGCTGCGGGGCGGGGGGCGCCCGAATCACGAAATCCGCGAGTCGGTCGTCGGTCAGCAGGGTCCCGACACGAGCGGCCTCGTCCTCGAACAGCTGAAGGGCGTCGCGTCGGACCACCCGGGTTTCCTGCGGGGGCCCGGCCAGAGGCCGCGCCGGAGCCTGGCTCGGCAGGGCCGCCTGAGCCGCCAACGTCGCGCGCATCTCGGCCACGACCTCCGCACTGGTCATAGGAGCGCCGTCGTCCAGGGCTGCGACTGCCCAGCTGGGAGCTCGCTGCTGCGCAGCTGGAGCGGGCGAGGCCGCGATCCCTGCGTAGACCCCTGGGCGCCTCGGAGGAGGGGCCGCCTCTGGGGCCGCGGACTCGCGTTCGACATCGCCTTCCGCCCCCGGATCCGAGGTGGGCCCGGTCTCCTCGACGCCCTCCGACGCCGTGCGACTCGGCGTCGCCCGCTCGGCTCCTGGCAGGTCCTCCTCGCCGTCGGCACGGGGAGCTCCGCGGAGCGCGGCGAGCTGCTCGCGGAGAAGCCTGACCATGGACGGGCGCGGCCAGCAGCCCCGGGGCGAGATCGGCTGGAATGGCCGCGGGCAGCGGCGACAAGGACTCGAGCTCCAGCTCGTTGACGCCCAAGTCGATCACAAGGACCGAGGCCGTGGTGGCCAGAGCGCGAGAGCCTGCCCCGAGGAGAGGCACGCCCAGCACCAAATACGGACCCAGAAGCCCAGGGCAGCCACCCGCCTCCGCGGCCACCAGGTCGGCAGCCGAGCGGAAGGTCGAGGGAAGTGCGAGCAATGCAGGACGAGGAGGCGGAGGAGGAGGAGAGAGGATGGAGGACAGGAGAGACGTACGTAGGGGGCGAAATGAGAAGGGAGTAAAGAGAGGGAGGAGGAAATGGAGGAGCAAGAGGTGCGTGCAGCTTCTGTGGAGGGCAAGGGGTACACATGCCTTCCTGGCCCCTCCCTCCACAGGAGGCCGCATCGCGAAGAGCCCATGTGCGCGAAGTCTTGACGCCGAACCTCCTCCCCCTCGTCCACCACCCTCCCCCTGGCTTGTCGTCGGTTGCCAAGGCGAGCTGAGCCCCTTGCCGTCGGCGTCGGCCTTGGCCTTCGGATCCTGCGGCTTCGGAGGCCGCTTGCACGTGACAAAAAACTTGACGAACTCCGCCTCGGAGATCTTCCCGTCCTGGAGCGGGGGATTCAGTAGAAGCCTCTAGGATAACTCTGGGGGGTACCTGGAGCGCTCCAGGAGATTGTAGGGCGGCTCCAGCAGTCCCAGGCGGTTCCTAGAGGGTCCCAGCGAGCTCTAGGAGTAGCAAATTCTCGAGGGGAGTAAGTCGATCCTCCGTGGGAGGCGCGGCAGCGGGAGAAAAGCGAGCGAGGGGGCGAGAACGCACATGATGATCGACCGACGAGACGCCGAATCATCAAGTGTGGGAGCTGGAACGGCCACTGGGGAAACGTCTGCGGCAAATAAAGAGCCGTAAGGTGTCTCGAAGATGGCACTTGCAGAAGACACCTGGGCGTAGGTTCCGCAGAGAGGCCGACAAGATGGTCCGCACAGACTCGGGAACATTGGGTCGATCGGGAGGTGCGTCGAATCGGGCTGCATCGGAGCGGAGTCAAAATCGGAGCGGATCGGCTGCGCCGAAGTGCACAATAAAACGCCATGCAAACATCGGACCGCATCGGATCGGCGGAACCTGATAATCGAATCGGATCGAGCCACAACGACCGTCATGGCTGCTGCGCCACCACCAGGAATCGCACTCGAAACCACGGGGCGTACTTTGAGACGTCGACCCGCTAGCGCGAAGAGCCGTTCAAACGCTGAGAAACTACGCATGATTGATTGAATGCCATTGGCAAGTGCATTGGGTCCCTTGTCGCTTGACTACTGGTCAAACCTGACGGGAACGCGAAACAAACTCTGGAGAAGGCACGGAGTGGGAGAGAGAGAGAGAGAGGAAAACATCAAAAGGAGAGAGAGGGGGGACTCAGAGAGAGAGAGAGAGAGCGAGCGAAACAGAGAGGTAGAGAAAAGGATAGAGAGAGAGGGATGGGAAGAGACCGATATATCCAACACCATGAACAATGTGCATATGCACACACACACACAAAGCACCCAAGACTATGCCAGCCTGGTCGGCGTCTACTGCTTTGAACAGCTCGTCCCTACTCAACTTCGCCTCCTTCTGGTGGTACCTCGTTCCAGGGGGGGCAATTACGAAAAAGAAACGTATAACACCTGCTATGGTACGAACGATGCAAGATCAAAGAAACACGCACTCGTTACACGTGTTGCCCCTGTTTCAACACCCGTGCTTCTGAACTCAGCGCTTACAACGGAAATTCGTGCGCAACATGGTGAAGGGTTCCTCCATGCAAATGGTAACATCGTTTCCGTTGTACCATGTGTGCCGTTCTCTGTCGTGGTTTACTCTACCTGTTACGTAACGCGATTATTTGTCGTAAGAGGATCGGACTTAGGGTCCGTCATGAGACGTGCTGCGCCTGTGCTTCTCAGAACAGCTGGTGTGTCTCCACTCATCGCGCGACGAGTGCAACTAAGCTCGGACTCTGCGAAGACGTAAGGAATTATGACTCGACGCGGTCATCTGCATCGGATGGCCTTTGTACACTCGCTCGAAGGCCCGCATTTCTGACTGGCTTCCCATCCGACCAAAACCAAAACGATGCGAAGGTGACTTATGTTTGCCGAGCCGACCTCGGCGGCGAGCGCGGGGCTGCCGTCTGGGTCCAATCGCCCCCTCAAACGTGGTCCTCGGGAAGATCTGGCAAATGCGACAGCATCGGCGGCGTCCCTTTGATTTTTGGGGACTCGAAAGCAACCCTCATGGCACCGACCGCGACAAAAGGACTGGCGCGCGCCCTGGCCGAAACGAGTGCGCTGTGAAGGCAGGTCGTCAAGAGGCGGCAGCTGCCATGAGGGATGCGCGGGACTACGGCGACGCAGAGGATGAGGAGAACGACCCAGACACAGAAGAGGCGTCGATTCCTTTGCAGTGGTGGTATCGGATCTGCCGCTGGCCTCGCTCGCAGGAGCAGTGTGGTGCGTTCGTGATGCGGAGAGCCGCTTCGGCTGCATGCCAACAGGCCAGCGATTGGACAGTGGTCGACACGGCTAGCGTGCATGAACGGGAGGCTTCTTCCTCCTCCTGCCTCTCTCATGCCCCTCCTCCAGCGGTGGACCACAGTCGACACAGCCGGGCGGGCCGAAGTGGTGGACACTGTGGCGGCAAGCAATGTCCACAGTACTCTGCTTGCTACCACGAGGACCCCAACAGAAGGAACGAAGGGACCTGCCTGGCCGCGGCGAGCCTCGGCCACCGATGAGCTCCCCGCCCTGGATCTGAAGCACGGCCCGGGAACCGGAGCGCCTCCAGAGCCCAAAGTGGCCATTTCTCCGGCGTCTTGACTGCGTGCGGCACTCCCGCCTGGTGGCCAAACCGCGCCCTTCGCTCGGCACGTCCACCCCGACTGGACCGCTTCCTGCAACGAGTCGGAGAGCCCGAGCTGTCGCATCTCGCAGGGCGTGGCTGGTCCCGGTGGGACCTTCCTCCCGCCCGAGGCCTCGCGCCTCGACCCGGTGACATGCTCGACTGGCCTGCCTTCCCTGCCAGATCTCTGGTCGTCGCGAGCAGATACCTATCGTCGGACGTCTTCGTTTGTCTGTGTGCTTTCCCCGGCCTCTGGGGTGTGGTTGGGGGATGTTGGGGGGGGGGCGCTGCCGAAAAAAGAAACTGAAAAACGACCCGCGACGGGACGATTTGGAGGTCTAGGCTGTCAACTCCCCCCCGCGCTGAACTGCACGCTCTTCCAATCCGCCATCTCCTCTTGCGGATGTCGGGCGGCAAGGCGCCTCAAAAAGCTCAGGGCCTTGGCCTCAAGCGCTTCCATCTCCGCTATCACCTCCGAGGCCGGCGAGAGGGGATGCGACGCTCAAAGGGTGCACAAGAGATCAGACTGGGGGCCAGAGCCAGAGAAGAGCGGCAGCTCCGGGTCCAGGGGTGAGAAGGGAAGAGGCTGTGAGGAGGGGGCTGGACGGGAGGATGCGCGGCGCAGCTGGCGGAGCTGGAGCCTGACGGCTGTGCAGCGGCGTGTGATCGGCAGCAGGGGACTCGCCATCGCTCGGACGTCCATTCCCTGTATTTTTTTCGGTTTCGTGCGTGTTTTTTTTCGCCAAATGATCAAGGATGCACACGTCCGAGCGATGCCAAGGGGAGGGAAACCACACGGAGCAATCCCTGGCATCCGCCGATCAGTTTGTCCCCAAGCGCGGCCCCAGAAGTCCTGACCGCTTTGCCAGAGGCAGTTGCTTCGTCCAGAGATCCATTTTCGATATAATCCCCAGGCCCGAAACTGACCCTCGAGGGCCGAAATCTCATGAAAATCGACAGCTGAACATTTCAGATCGTCGGAGATCTGTGGTGTCAGCGTCGGCGGCAACAGCAGGGACCATTCGAGCGCCTGGCGCGGATTGCCTATGTGCTCTGACGACTGCCGCTCCACGAGGGGGCCGAGCCCTAGGCGGGAGCTGTTGTTATCCGCCCGTCACGCTGGGCCGCCCCGCAGTTGCAGCCCAGAGCAGGGGTGGAGTCATCGCGCCGATTCAGGAACGACAGGGCGTTCCTGGCCACGGCGATCCTCGGCCACGAACAGACGGCTGGACCTGGATCTCAGGAACGGCCCGGAAGCCAGAGCCCCTCCTGAGCCCAAGGTGGTCGTAATGTCAGCGTCTTGACTGTGAGCCAGGCTCTGAGGCGACAAAACTCGCAGGGAGCCAACCACCTCTCCTCTTGCCAGGGCAAACGTGTCCCTCTCATTCATGTACCTTCTCTCTCTCTCAATCTTTCTCCCTATCCTCTCCTTCTCCCCCTCACCCCTTCGTTCCCCCTCCATTTCCCACCCCCCCTTCCCCGCCCGCCTGAGCCTGAGACGTCCCGCTCTTTCCTCAGTACGGGGAGCTCCGCAGCTCCAGACTCGATCTTCTGCTGGCCATGGAGCCCTTCGGGCCAAGCAGGGCCGTTAGGAATGAGGCCGGCGCCCCTGGCCCGCCTTCGACGATGCGCAGCTGCTGGTGAACGTTGCGGGGCGACTTGGCCCGACGCCCCAACAAAATCAGAGCCTCCGACACTCTGCTGGAGGACTGTGCACGGGGTCCTGTCGGAAGGGGTGGGCCAACATCCTCCTCCCCACCAAGTCCTCATCCTGCAGGCAAGAGGCTGAACTCATGGTTGGGAGTTGGCCCAAACCACCTCTGGCGCCAGCCCCCACCAGGGCGGGCACGCGCTCCTATGGATTACGGATCCAAGGATCCGGCGCGTGGGCGCCAGGTGCACGGATCGGTAAAGACACGTCCCTAAATATATGAAACAAATGCCGAACCACTTGGCGACGGAACAGGCCGACTCTGCACGGAAACGGGACCCACCGCTAAGCCACGCGCCTTCATCCATGTGTGCGTCTCCTCGACTACGAACCTGTCAGCAGCCTCTGCGGAACTTCTGGCCCCCTGGCCCCCTGGCCCCCTGGCCCCCTGGGCCTTTCTCTTCGCGATGTCGCGGAGCTTGCTGGGGCTGCCCGCGACCTTGCCCAGCCTCTGGTCGGAGGTCCGCGGGCCCCCCTCGGCGGGGGGCACCTCTCCCGGCGGAGCACCGCACGAGCCGCCGATCACCGTCGATGAGTCAGCTTGTCCACCGCAGCCCTTCAATACGGCGCAGGGGTGTCAGGGCCGACGCGGGCTGCGTGCTATCGGCGATGCTGAACGGGATTGACACACACGCACACACGCACACACGCACACGCACACACGCACACACGCACACACGCACACACGCACACACGCACACACGCACACACGCACACACGCACACACGCACACACGCACACACGCACACACGCACACACGCACACACGCACACACGCACACACGCACACACGCACACACGCACACACGCACACACGCACACACGCACACACGCACACACACACACGCACACACACACACACACACACACACACACACACTGGGCTAACGCATCGTCGAGCCCGAGGCTCGACGGTCAGCAGTGAAGAGGCGCGCAGATGTCAGGCGCAGCACGACCCAGAAGCCCCGGACGCTGGACAGAGACCACGGCGCCCTGGAGCGATTGTACGCCTCGGCACCACCTGCGAGCGGGACCCCTCGAGCCGAGACGAACCGTGAGGGGGGCAAACTTCGCTGGTGGCGCGTGCTTTTTCGCGACGCTCGGAGGTCTGCGGGAGGGGGAGCGCACGCGAGAGAGTGACAGAGAGACCCAGGACGTCCGACAGCCCGATTCTTGCGGGGCGGGCCGCTCGCCCCAAACGGCTGGTCCTTCGCCCCATGCCGTTTCTTGATGGCCCAGGGGGGCCTGGGCAACGGGCACCAGACGCAGCTGGGAACGGGCTGATCCAGGCCAGCGCTGGCATGGGCCAACCAAAGCAATGCTGCAAACCAAGGCCGGCCAAGACGCAACACTTCAAAAAAAGGGTCGGCGGAAGAAACGGAAGGGGTGGGCGACTCCACGTGGCTCCCTCACCCTGGGCAGCCAGCGGGGATCCGAGACTGGCTGACCCCCGCTGCGACAGGTTCGCATCGTGACGACCTGCGTGGTGGTCTCCGACACCGCCGCGCGGATCGCTCCAGCTGGAGCGATAGCGGCGTCCCGATAGCGCAGATCGTTCGATGTTGGACGGTTCCAGGCCTCCGGCCGCAGCTTAACCGTGAACGCCCGCGCTGGGGTTACCGCCGCGCCGACGCAGCGCGCCCCGACACTACAAACTGTCAGGACAAGCTTCCGGCGCGATTTGTCCGTGTCGCCAAAGGCTCCCCAAATGGCCCCAAGATAGCTCCAGGATGGCGCCAGGATGGCTCCAAGAGGTCTATAAGTTCATTTGTGTCGGCGTATTTGCTCCACCATCTGCTAATCATCTGATTCCCTTCTCCCGACAGCTCGCCTGGGCACCGTTTCTGGATGGGCTGGTGGGGGTGCGAGAACGAGGGGGAACGTTCGGGGGGCAATGGGTCAGGGGAGGCAGCGTCGAGCCCGAACCGGCGACGACAGATCGGCAAGAGGGGCCCCGATGGCGACTCCGCACCGTCCTGCGCGGGGTTGGGCCTTCGGACCCCCATCGGCGATCAAAATCTGCGATTTGGGGCCGATGCGTCCTGCACGGTTTCCCCCGGGGCCATATGCGACCCGAGGAGGAGGAGGACGACGAGGAGGACGAGGTGGAGGAGGGGGAGGGGGAGGATGAGATGGAGGGGGAGGAGGAGGAAAGGGAGGAGGAGGAGAAGGAGGAGGAGGAGGAGGAGGAGGAGGAGGGGGAGGATGAGGAGAGGAGGAGGAGAAGGAGGAGGAGGAGGAGGAGGAGGAGGAGGAGGAGGAGGAGGAGGAAGAGGAGGAAGAGGAGGAGAAGAAAAGGAAGAGGAAGAGGAGGATATGGAGGGAGAGTCGGAATCGAAGGCATCCATCGAGGAGGAGGAGGAGGAGGAGGAGGAGGAGGAGGAGGAGGAGGAGGAAGAGGAGGAACAAGAGGCCAAGGAAGAGGAATGGAAGGCATCTAGGAGCTGTGAGAACAAAATCCTTGGCGCGATCTCGTTCGCGTCTGCGTCGAGGCGCCCCCCGCCCCCGGGCGGTGGGGGGCGAGGGGCGACTCGGGGGGCCTCCTGGGTGAGGCTGGCACGCCGAGGGCGGCAGCAGCCTGCGTGGCATGAGGGCGTGGGGCAAGGAACGGGTCGGAGGAAGAGGATGAGGAGACGGAGGAGGAACAGGAGGAACCGAGGGGATCGGAGGACGAGGAGGAACAGGACGATGATGATGACGAGGGGAGGAGGAGGAGGAGAGGGAAGGAGGAGGAGGAGGAGGAGGAGGAGGAGGAGGAGGAGGAGGAGGAGGAGGAGGAGGAGGAGGAGGAGGAGGAGGAAGAGGAGGAGGAGGAAGGAGGAGGAGGAGGAGGAGGAGGAGGAGGAGGAGGAGGAGGAGGAGGAGGAGGAGGGAGGAGGAGGAGGAGGAGGAGGAGGAGGAGGAGGAGGAGGAGGAGGAGGAGGAGGAGGAGGAGGAGGAGGAGGAGGAGGAGGGGGAGGGGGAGGAGGAGAACCGTCGCGCGGATGGAAGAAAGGTTTGGCAATTCTACTGCTGATGCTGCTGCTCCCGCTGCTGCTGCTGCTGCTGCTGCTGCGTGCCCCCCCCCGCTCGGATGGCCTGGGGCAGCGGCGGCGGCGGCGGTGGGGGAAGCCTCGTCCCCCACCTCCGCCAGCTCTTGGGCCTGGCGCTGGAGGCACTGCTGGAGCGGCATCGGCCGCTCGAAATCAATCGGAGTGCCCTGGTGCCTCGAGGGTGCCTGCCGCCCACCAGGAGATGTCACTGGGTGCGGTCTCCAGTTCTTGCAAGCCGAGAGCTGCACTCGACTCTTAAGGATCTGGCGTTTGAACCCGAAAACTTGCTACAAGGACCACGTGCTAGAATGAAGAACCCTCCTCTCACCCTGCTCAGCGACACACAGAGAGTGGCCCTGAGAGCTGGCGCGCAAAATCGCGAGTCGCCGGGCGAAACCTAAGCAAAAACATGATTTGTTGGTGGCCGATCTCGCTCGGCAATCGATGCAAAGGCATCTCCTCCCTGACGCCTCCCACCTGTGCACGCGACTCTCCCCCCTGGGGCGGGAAGCCGCGGGAGGTTGGGGGGGGGGGCGGGCGGGCTGGCGCCATGCACTGGCGGCAGAGGCGGCTCCAACTGGGGGCGAAAGAGACTTAGTGGGCTTGGCGAAAACCTTCTTGGTCGCGCTGGGTCCTATCGGGGGCTATCCCTGGAGGTCACGAGCCACGTGGAGTAAAAACTTACTGAGCAACTTACTCCAATCTGAAAAACTGCCAACTTCAGCTCCCGAGTGTCGGTTCAAAGCGCGAGAGGCGATTACAACAAAACGGCCCCCTCCACGGTTGCCCACGGCCGCGGCCCACCCAAGGAGCCCTTCGGGATGGGCGTCGACATTCTGCTGGGCTTTGACCCAGGGGAGCCGGAGATTATGGTGCCAGCCCGTGGCAGCTCCTGCATGCAATCCTATCCCAGCGTGCCAGCATCGCCGAGAAAGTCCTGTGGCGCACATGTCTAGAAAGCCTTGATAGTCAACTGCAGTATCTGCAATTCTGGAGGTTGGAGGCAACAGCTGCAAGCGCGACACAGTGCTCAGCAACAAATGACGACTCGGGAAGGAATCGGCCGACTTGGCCCGCGAAACCTGCGATGACCGCGCCGGCGTCATTCGTCTTAACCACGGCCCAGCCCGCGGTTTCGCACGTAGAGCATTCAGGCTTGAGGGCCAAGCCGCCAGCTGACACTTTGCCCGCAATGGCCGTCTGAGGGGTAGCATCGGGACTCACGGGCCAAGATTTCGCGGAAGAAAGACCGAGCCCCTCTGGGGCTCCTATATCGAAATCAGGCTCGGTCTGAGAGCCGCGGCCAGGGGGAGACTATCCTGGCTGGTTAACATATCGATTTCGTCGGCAGTGAGACTGTTGGCCCTGCGCGGCCCGACGGGGGGGGTATCAGAAGGCGCTGCACACGCGCGCTCCCCCGAGGGCTCCTCGTATCCTGCGGCCTTGAACTTGCCGCGCGCCCATGTGGCATGGCGGCCGATGTTGGCGAGGCTAGGCGACCCAATGCATCTCTGAGCAACGTCCGCGCGTAGCTGGGCCCCTTTCGAGCCCCATGTTCGAGGCTGCTTCCTCGAGCAGCCCCCCCCCCCCCCCGCGGGTCTTCTCGAGGATGTCCTGCAGGGGGCTGGGGGAGGTGCTGGTAAGGATGCGATGATTCCCTCTGTTGTCCTGGATCGCGAACGGGGAGACGAACGCCCGCTGGGTCCTCTGGAGGCTGAGACACGCTGTTCCTAGCGGGCCCATGCAACTGCTCCATGTTCTGGGCGCGGCATCCAGCGCAGCCCCCGCCATCCTGCGCAAGCTCGGGGGGTCGGGGCCCTGGGCGGCCGCGCCTGTGGCTGCTCGCCCAACCGGCTGGCTCCAAAGCAGCGCCGGGCCCGAGGCTGGTCGCCAGCAGGGGTCGTCTAGGACGCAGGGCGAGACGCCTCTGGATCGAGTGGGGCCCCTTGGCCCGCGATCTTGAGGTGGGGCGACTGCGACTTGCGAAGCGCGACGTTTTCGAGACCGACTACCTCCGCGTCGTAGAAGTGCGCCCGATTGTAACATGCGTCGTAGATCTTGTGGGTGTCTCCGAGTGCCCCAAGCCTGCGGGCGCGGGCTTGGCGCTTGCTGCGTCTGGCCCCGCGGGTGGATTTGCTGATTCCACGACGGGTGGCCTTCCATGATCTGGGGCCGACTCCCAGGTTGGGCGCTACCGAGGCCTGCTTGTGGGGGCCTGCGTACTTGCCTGGCTCTGTCTCAAGGGATTCCTGAATGTCTCTGGAGAAGGCGAGGGCAACCGACTTCTCGTCGTCAACCTGGCACCGCCGCCCGTGCTTGATAGCTGCGAGCAGCTGGAAGCACGTGTCGGGCAGTCGCTTGACCAGCTGCTTCTTGCACTGTATAAACATATGCAGCCACGTGTCATCGATGAAAATGAGCTGCACTCCTGGGTGGGCCTGAAC